TTCATTGATATAACTATATAAGAGTTATATCATGCCTTTGAGATAAAAATGAATATAAGATAGGTTTTCTTAGGCTCTGGAAAATAAGAAAGAATAAAAAGGAAAGCAGAACGAGTTAAACACAGTCTCTACTTTCATGGAGCTTGAGTCCTACAGGGCACAGAGTGTGGAAAATGCAATTTGAAAGATAGACTATTGCCAAAAATAATAGGCTCTGTAATTTGACTTAACAATGGCCAGAGGGGAGGGAGGTCAGGGGCTGGATGGAGGTGGGTAAAAGGGGATATGGCTACATCTGTAATAGTGTCAAATATAAAAATAAAGTTAAAAAAAATAAAACCAGTATTCTAATAATACACACACACACACACACACACATACACACACACACACACACAAACACCCCACAACCCAACTTTGCTATTATTCACTTAATATACACAATAAAGCGGTAAGCAGAGAGGAAGGAAAGAGGAGCAGTGTGAGTAAAAGTGCTGATATGGGAATGGATCCTTCTTATTCAGGTGACCTTTGAATTTTAAACTAAGAGAATTAGATTTTATCTTGTAAGTATTTGAATAAGGCACAACATGATGAAAGCAGAGATTTAGAAAGAACATCCTGTTAGCTAAATAAGGTCTGTATGTATTACACAGTGCCCTTGTAATGCACACTGTCTTTGAAGAAGCCACATTCTTATTTCCTGTTTTGTTTTCTGTACTCTTGTACCAAATTCATAGACTGAAACTTAAAGAAAATAACTGAGTTGTTCATAGGGGAAGAATAAATTCTGGCATCTCGAATCTTAGAAGCTCAGACGTTTTATTTCCTTGGAGGTGGGAGGTGGGAAGGACACAATAACAAGAGAAGCCTAATGAAAGGTGTGAGCTGGGGAATGTACTTTTCAATATAGTCATTTTCTTTTAGATTATCAGAGAACCATTAATGGGACTAAGAAAAACTTTCTTTTTCCAGTACAGTATACAAATCTTAGGTAAAAGAACTAATATTGTACCAGGAGCTGAATTTATCAAAGTTATTTCCCATTGTAGATTGGAAAAAAGGGATTTTCCCAGTGCTGAGTAGAATGAGAGTGCAGTCATGTAATGTCCAGTACTGGGACTATATCATAGTAGCTTTATTTAAGAATGAGTAGAGAAGTAGCATAAAAACAATGACAGAAATTACACGGAGCTTATAAAAAATCTTTATTCTTCCAAAAATATAGAGGCTAAAATATAAATTTGGTAAATAATTTCCTATCATAACCAGAAAAAGTAGAACATTGTTACAATATCCATAAAAGTAAACTACATTCAAGGCCTCTAAAATGGAGTAAGAAGCTAAAAAGAGAGAACAATCTGAAATTAATAGACAACTGATTAACATACGAATAGGATGAACTACAGGGGAATTAATAAAACTAAATGAGTAATGAGATCTGCATTGGAGAATATAAAAGTTATAATTGAGTAAAAAAATAAATCAATGATATTGTGATGCAGTCCTACATAATAAAGAGATTAATGCAAATCTATAGTTATAAAAGGCTAATATGCTAAGTGTCCAACCATCCGACCGGTCATTATGATGCACACTGACCACCAGGGGGCATATGCTTAATGCAGGATCTGCTGTGACAAGCACTGTTCATTTACGAAGAAATGGCACCACGGACCTGGCACC